GACTCACAGTCAGAGCAGCTGCTGGAATGGAACAGGAAGAATCATGAAAAAAAAAAATTCCTAATCTAAGTGTTATTTAAAGTAGAGATGGCAGTAATAATGACAGAAATCAGGGAAAGAGCCATTTATGGCGTTCAAAGTCATTGCTGTGTGGAACATGCTTCAAAAATCTCCTCATACCTAAATGGCTTCACTAAATATTATGTTGATTGTAGATTTTGAAAATCACTCTTCTTACTTTTTTTAAGACCCAATAGTGTTTCCTCCACTGAGCTCTATTTATTCACTGGATTGCTGAAAGGCAGTTGTAGAGTGTGAAGTGAAGCCTTTAGCCACCACATTGGTACTGCCTAGTTAGACCGGTTGCAATGTACATAATACGTCCACTACAGCATTAAACAACTACAGTATGATTCTTATCATTTTAGGGGGAAATAAGACCTTTTTTTTAACAGTGTCCTATGGCAAATTTGGCAATAAGAATAATTGTTTTGATGCCAAAAAGAGCCAAGCAGATTTTACCTTTACAAGTGGAGCAGTACGGCTATCGCCATAGTGTTCCACTTGTTTCATGCAATCAAATTACTTTATTATAATTATGAAGGGAGTTTTACAGATTATATGGACACTGCAATGTAGGTAGAACAGAAGAGGAAAAACAGAGAAAAAGGAGAAAAGATTAAAGAAAGAGGAGATAAAAGGGAGATAATGACAAAACATTTTCAGTCTGCTTCATCACCTGTAACGAGATGAAAAAAGAACAGCACAACCGAAAGACATGGTACGAGACATACAATAAAGTAACACCTAAATACTATTGCTGAAGCAGTATTATTAAGTCTGACATGTACTCTGTGTTACCTAAAGATATGAATGTGGGCTTCCTGTATGGAAGTGAATCTCTGATTACCTGGAACCAAACACCTGTAGTTGTTTGTCAGAGTGCACTTATGCATGTAAAGTTTATCCAAAGAAAAAATGCTCAATAGTGGTGGTGGAGAGCCAAAGAGGCGCACCACCACCCGGCAGAAGCCCCAGCCAGGCCCCGGCCGGCCAGGCCCTGCGGAGAACCCGCCAGAAATGAGCCAGTAGCCACCCAGGCATCTACCCCCAAACCACGAGTTCCACCAGTGCACCTGCGAGCCCCGATGCCAGCCAGCGGAGGGAGAGGAGGACGGGGGGAATGGGCTCCGCACTTTGAGGAGACTTAATATGTGCTTGGAAGAGGGAGCAGTTCAGACCTGCCATACCAACCCATCTCGTTCCTGCTTCGAGCCCGGCCCCCCACCCTGCACCCGGACCAGACCACTTCCAGCAAAAGCTCCCCAGTGACCATGGCCCACACGCCCAGAGACAACCCCCAACTAATTCACCCAGCCTCTACACGCCCCTCCCTCCAACCTTCTTTGGGGAGAGCAGAAGTGACCACCCCACCACCAGCAGGCCACCCAGGCCCTGCAGGAGCCCCCCTGCCAAAGTTTAACTTGGATGAAGACTTAAGGCCAGGTCCTTAAGATACTTCAGGGTCTGAGAGCAGTCACAGGTCGAAAGTGTGATGTAGGAGCAGTAGCTGACATAGTGTAGGAGTGGATGTAGCCTGTAAGTGAGCAATAATCTCCAGCATGCCTGACTCGAGTTGAGAAATTGAGTTTTCAACACCAGAACACCGCTGTTTTTCTGCTGATGGAACCATGTTAGGCCAGATTATTCTGTCAAGCTCAGAACTGCAGGATCTAGTATTCTTAGCTCTTCTTTGCTGGGTCCTCGTCAAACCACGTCAGTCTTCCTCCACTTCATCTCTCTGAGCCCTCCTTGTAATTTTTGATTCCCTTGATGTCTCCTTGGTTTTTTAGGTACGTTTAGACTTGTGTATTTTCTTTTTTTATCTTTGGACTTTGGACTCCTGGTTTCATGTTTGTTTGGACTTTGTTTTCTTTTTGATTTTTTGGACCTGCCTCTGTTTTCAGTTTTTAATAATTCATCATTAAATCACTTGAAAGATTGACCTCTGCCTTCCTGCCTCTGCCTTTGGGTCCACAACCCTCAAACAAATCTTGACACTGTGTCTATACGTTATTCTCCAAGACTCTAACTCCTGGACTATATAAGATATCTCAAAAATCCAAAATGTACCAGAAAGCAGAGATAAAGGCTTGTGACCCTACAGTTCTAATTTTGATAGCACATAGGACTTCAGCGACACTGTGACCATCCAATCACAGACCCCAGTCAGTGGGGCATCAGAGGTTTGTAAAGTGAGCTTGTCTGAGTGACAGCCAATCACAAAACAAAAGACAGAGGGCCAATCTGGAGCTTTTGGGCGGTCTAAACTCAAGGATTCAGGCTTGAGCTTGATTGTCTCTGTACTGTAGCGTTACATGGTTTTTGGACACTAAGAAGTGCAGGGGACCAAAACGGGCTTTTGAAAAAGTGCAGAGGACATGTCCCCTGTCCCATCCACGCTTTGATTTTAATGTTATGTTCAGCTGCGTGTGATGCAGCTGTCGTCAGCATAGTTGGGGTAACATGGTGTTGTTTATTAGGAAATGAGTTAGGGGGAACAGTGGCCAATAATGGACCCTTGGGGAATGCCACATATGATTTTAATCTGTCTCTGATGTAAAGTTTAAACCAGTCCAGTGCTAAAAAACAAGAAAGCCCTTGAAGAATTATGCCCTTTATGTTAACCAGGTTATTGATCAATCTCAGTATTGTCTATTTAAATATCAACTTAAAACACAAAAGCAAAGCTGTAAAAGTGGGTGTTAGGCTCCCCCTGATGTTACCATTGTCTCCAAGAAAAAAGTTAGGTGCACCAGTGCAACAAGGGCAAAACTTTAGTTAGTTTAGAGTGCTAGTCATTTAGCTTTTTTTAATCATACATACAGTAGTGTATTAATACCACATCCAGGCTGCTTTATCTATTATTAGGACCTTTGTTACAGTACACTAAGCTTGCACCACTAAAGTGGTGGTGTGTCCCTCTATTTATAGTTTTATGCTGCACATATCCAAAATAAAAATATGTCAGGTGCTGTAATATTTATGTCAGGCAATATTTTCTCCATGTTTTCTTTTCAGTTTAGAAAAATCCTGATGCGGATATTAGTACGAACATTTTAGTAATGCACTCAGAGAGTATAAATACTATTTACTTACCTTGGTTTGTAGTGAAGCACAGCGGTAAACCTAGACCTTTAAAGAAAAAGAAAAAGATTACTCTGTAAAATTATTTTCTAAATAAACAGAAATGATCAATATTGGAAAAAAAGAGAGAGGAACTTGTGTTTAGTCAGGGTAAGAGATTTATTTAAGGGATTGTAAGGTTTGGCGGTTCTTGAACAACTTTTTAATTTCCATTACCATCCATCCATCTTCCTCCGCTTATCCGCGGTCGGGTCGCGGGGGCAGCAGCTTAAAAGGGAGGCCCAGACTTCCCTCTTCCCAGGCCAGCCGAGAAACATAGTCTCTCCAGCGTGTCCTGGGTCTTCCCCGGGGCCTCCCCCCGGTGGGACGTGCCCGGAACACCTCACCAGGCAGGCGTCCAGGAGGCATCCTAACCAGATGCCCGAGCCACCTCAACTGGTTCCTCTCGACGTGGAGGAGCAGCGGCTCTACTCCAATTCCCTCCCGGATGACCAAGCTTCTCACCCTATCTCTAAGGGAGAGCCATAGATGAGGGTAGGAAAGTAGATCGACTGGTAAATCGAGAGCTTCGCTTTTTGACTCAGCTCTCTCTTCACCACAACGGACCGGTACAGCGCCCACTTCATGGCAGATGCTGCGTCAATCCGCCTGTCAATCTCCCGTTCCCTTCTTCCCTCATTTGTGAACAAGATCCCAAGATACTTAAACTCCTCCACTTGGGGCAGGACACCCCCCCTGACCTCGAGAAGGCACTCTACCCTTTTCCGGCTCAAGACCATGGCCTCGGATTTGGAGGCCCTGATTCCTATCCCGGCCGCTTCACACTTGGCTGCGAACCGATCCAGCGAGAGCTGCAGATCACGACCTGATGAAGCCAATAGGACCACATTATCTGCAAAAACCAGAGAGGCAATCCTAAGGCCACCAAAACGGATCCCCTCAACACCTTGGCTGCGTCTAGAAATTTTGTCCATGAAGGTAATGAACAGAATCAGTGACAAAGGGCAGCCCTGGCGGAGTCCAACTCTCACCGGAAACAAGCCCGACTTACTGCCGGCAATGCGGTCCAGACTCTGACACCGGTCATACATGGATCTGACAGCCCGTATCAAAGGACCCGGCACAACGTACTCCCGGAGAACCCCCCACAGGGCCCCCTGAGGGACACGGTCGAACGCCTTCTCCAAGTCCACAGAGCACAGGTAGACTGGTTGGGCGAACTCCCATGCACCCTCCAGGACCCTGCTGAGGGTGTACAGCTGGTCCAGCGTTTCACGACCAGGACGAAAACCACACTGCTCTTCCTGAATCCGAGGTTCAACTATCTGACGGACCCTCCTCTCCAGCACCCCCGAATAGACCTTGTCGGGGAGGTTTAAGAGTGTGACTCCCATGTAATTGGAGCACACCCTCTGGTCCCCCTTTTTGAATAGGGGGACCACCACCCCAGTCTGCCAATCCAGGGGGACTGTCCCTGCTGTCCATGCAATGTTGCAGAATCGTGTCAGCCAACACAACCCTACAACATCCAGGAACTCCAGGCAGATCTCATCCACCCCCGGGCCCCTGCCACCGAGGAGCTTTTTAACCACCTCGGCGACGTCGGCCACAGAGATTGGAGAGCCCAGCCCAGAGTCCTCAGGCCCAGCTACCTCAATGGAAGGCATGTTGGTGGGAATAAGGAGGTCTTCGAAGTGTTCCGCCCACCAACCCACAACGTCCCGAGTCGAGGTCAGCAGCACACCATCCCCACTATAAACAGTGTTGGTGCTGCACTGCTTCCTCCTCCTGAGACGCCGGATGGCGGACCAGAATCGCTTCGGAGCCGTACGGAAGTCTTTCTACATGGCCTTTCCAAACTCCTCCCACACCTCAGAGTTTTTGCCTCAGCAACCACCCGAGCCGGATGCCGCTTCACCCGTCGGTACCCATCAGCTGATTCCCGAGTCCCACAGGCCAAAAAGGCCCAATAGGCCTCTTTCTTCAACCTGACAGCATCCCTAACCGGAGGTGTCCACCAACGGGTTCGAGGGTTGCCGCCACGACAGGCACCGACAACCTTGCGGCCGCAGCTCAGATAAGCTGCCTCGACAATGGAGGAACGGAACATGGTCCACTCGGACTCAATGTCCCCCACCTCCCCAGGGATGTGTTCGAAGTTCTGCCGGAGATGGGAGTTAAAGCCCCGCCTAACCGGGGACTCCGCCAGACGTTCCCAGCAGACCCTCACAACACGTTTGGGCCTGCCAGGTCTGACCGGCATCCTCCCCCACCATCGGAGCCAACTCACCACCAGGAAGTGGTCGGTGGAAAGCTCTGCACCTCTCTTCACTCGAGTGTCCAAGACATACGGCTGCAAGTCCGATGAAACGATGACAAAGTCGATCATCGAACTGCGGCCTACGGTGTCCTGGAGCCAAGTGCACATATGGACACCCTTATGCTTGAACATGGTGTTCGTTATGGACAGTCCATGACGGGCAGTCCAACAACAGAACACCACTTGAGTTCAGATCGGGGCGGCCATTCCTCCCAACCACGCCCCTCCAGGTCTCACTGTCATTGCCCAAGTGAGCGTTGAAGTCTCCCAGCAGAACAAGGGAGTCCCCAGGAGGGGCACCCTCCAGTACCCCCTCTAAGGACTCCAAGAAGGGTGGGTAATCTGAACTGTTGTTTGGCCCGAAAGCACAGACAACAGTCAGAACCCGTCCCCCCACCCTTAGGCGGAGGGAGGCTACCCTCTCGTTCACCGGGGTGAACCCCAACGTACAGGCGCCGAGATGGGGGGCAACAAGTATGCCCACTCCTGCCTGGCGCCTCTCACCGGGGGCAACTCCAGAGTGGAAGAATGTCCAGCCCCTTTCAAGGAGACTGATTCCAGAACCAGAACCATGCGTCGAGGTGAGACCGACTATTTCTAGCCGGAACCTCTCAGCCTCGAACACTAACTCCGGCTTCTTCCCAACCAGCGAGGTGACATTCCACGCCCAAGCTCCCTTGGACATGCAAGCTCCCTATTGTTTAATCAGTAGTGATTTTCGGGAGGCTCAGTGGGTCACAAATTTAAAGATTGTCATGAGAGCAGGACGCATTCGGAAAATCTGGAGAGCTGGAAGTTTGCGTTAGTGGGGAAAAAACGGAGCAAACTTAAATGAGACCAAGATGCTGGAATGTTCCCTCCTTAAATTTTAGATTAGTGGGGTAAAATTGACAGAATAAGAAATCAGTAGATCTGAGAAGATGAGTTAATTGCCATTTTATACATGAAAGAGCAAGCTCACACAGACAATTATATGGTAATATAAGCTGAACTATTGAGAAGTAAGTAATTACTTAATTAAAAGTAATTATTACCTCACAACATCTGACTTCAGATTTAAAACGATGTAATCAGATAGAGATTTCTAAAAATTATAGTATTTCAAACTAAAAAAAAATTAATTTTATAACAAAATCAAAAGAATAGATTCAGGCAAAGGAAACACTAAAAATAATCCATACAATAGGTACTATATATGTCTACACTGTATGTCAGAAGAGGATAAAGAACTTCAAGCTACATTATACAGTATCTTGTGGTGGGTAGTCACCAGAGGGTTTACATAAGTAGGAGTAGCAACACTCTTACAACAATATTACTCCAGTAAATATATAATGTAGTACAATTGCTTATAAAAGTACATTTTTTAAATGGCAAAATGGCAGTGCCCTGCTCGGCTGCGGCTACTTCGGCTCCCGGTTAGCATCGAAAACCTTATGCTACTTTCGGCAGTTAAAACATCGATTCCCGTACCTACAACACAGCGTCACAGTGTAGGAACAGTGTACATCCGTAAGACTCTAATTAGTCTCAGGAAATTTGGGCTTCAAGACCTCCTCTGCATGGAGACGTGGACCGCACTCGATTGCCCCAGACTGCTACATCAAGCGGATCGTGCGGCCAGCGGAACAGCGAACCCTCCCGCAACCTGAGGCCACCTTTGGAGAAATCAGAGATGGTGTGACAGGAAGCAGAAGCGCGGCTGCCGTGGACAACTAACAGCTAAGCTAATAGCTAACCCATACAGATCACCGCTTCCCTCACTGCTGCTTGCCAGCGTACGCTTCCTGGAAAATAAAATGGACTACCTCACGATGGAACTACACTCAAAGCTTGAAACAAGAAACTGCTGTGCCATTATCCTTACCGAAACATGGCTCAGTGCATCTGTCCCAGACAGAGCCGACAGAAGCAGCACTCTCACACGTTAAACCCGAGGGGGGGCATTTGCATCTAGACGAAGAACAGCTGGTGTATCAATGCTTCCTGGGTCTCCAGTCACTGCTGTGCAGACACTGAACTCCTGACTGTGAGATGCCAACCCTTTTACCTGCCAGGTGAATTCAACAGCATCATCATTGTTGCTGTTTACATCCCACCCAGCGCCAACAGAAAGCAAGCCCTCAGTGTTCTCTACCATAACATCATGGACATGCAAGCCACTCAGCCGGAAGGTGTTTTTATTGTTGCTGGCGACTTCAACCAGGCCAACATGAAGACCGTGCTTCCAAACTTTTACCAACACGTGGACTTTGCTACAAGAGGGGAGAACACGCTGGACTTTGTTTACACCAACATAAAGAAGGCATAAAGAGCAGCCCCCCACCTGGGCTCCTCAGACCAGTTTTCTGTCATGCTAATTCCTGCATACCAGCCTCGGCTCATGATTGAAAAACCTGCAGTGCAGAAGGTGCCCGTATGGCCTGAGGGAGTGGTGTCTGCATTGCAGGACTGTTTTGAGTGCACTGAATGGAGCATCTTCAAGGAGGCTGCAACTGACAACCAGCACCCCAACGTGGAGGAGTCGGTGTCCGACTACATCAGTTGGTGCATGAAAAACGAGACGGCAACAAAAACAATAGTCACTCGGGCAAACCAGAAACCTTGGATGACCAAGGAGGTGCGAACAAAGCTGAGAAAACGCAATGCTGCATTGAAATCTGGTGATGCTTCGGCTCTCAGGTCTGCAAGGGCTAACTTGATGCGGGCTATCAGAGACACCAAGCGG